ATCTCTAAAAACCTCAGCAAGAAAATCACAGCATATGTTTTAGAATTCTTAACAGATTCACACCCCTCTAATTTTCCTTAAAGCTCCCAGGGAATTCTGAGAGGAGAGGGGTTTTTTTTTAATTTACTATCAGGTTTATCAATTTCAGATCTAGGAAAAATACTAGGCAACTCAGTCCAATGGTCAGAGCTCATGACAAAGTAAAGCAGGAACAGAACGATCTCCCTGATAGAAGGGTAACTTTTTTTTATGTTACTAATCCAACCTTTTAGGGAACAATTTTCCAACCAGATAACGATTCTAATTATGAAGTAAGATGAAAAAAAACAGTCACAGAGGAAACGTTCACGTGAGTAGTCTTAAAGGTGCCTTTACCTTTCCTTCATCAGAGAGCAGTCTAAAAAAAAATTAAGAATCGGAGACGTCTTTGCGAGGTGCACCTTGTGTGGTCAAGATTTCCGACATAAAAGTATTACTGCTTCCAAATCACTAACTTGCAAGTTACAGCTAAAAATCTGGTGCTGCACCAAACTGTTTTTCATTCCACTTTCCCACTTGAACTACCTTAAGTAGCATTCAACTAGAAAAAGTACACCAGCAAGCTGGTACATTCACAAAAAACTTCCAAGTATTAATGTAGTCTTCCAGATCTTCAAGTTACCGCTACTTCTACAGAAGTGGAAACACTCCCGGTAGCTTGTCTAGAGAACCAGAAATGTTTTCCAGGCCACTGTTCTTCCTCCCTTGCCACCTTTACATAGGAGCTCTGCTGCAATCTTTATTCCGCTCCTGCTGCTTTTTGTCACATCACGCTGCTGAGCATTGCACAGCTGCAAAAACCACCTGCTACTCCCACGTAGCTATTGTTTCTGCCACCTCCCTCAAAGCTCCTCATTCTTTCTGAAAAGGATTTGCTCCTTCTCCTACAGAAGTGATCCCCTCTGCCTTTTTGCAACACTGCAAATGGGAATCCCAGGTGGCTCCTGCTAATTATCCATGTGCCTTGGGAGTCTAATTCTTCCTAGTGTTAATATACCAATCTTTAGCCACAAAGTCACTTCATATGCTAATCAGAGACCAGCTGATCCCAAGCTAATACTTCATGTACTCAGGAGAACTGATCTGCTGGGAGTATTAATGATAGGACAGCAAGACGAGCTTTGGAAAATAGTTCCTGAAAGATACTGCATTACTCTCACTTCTAGTACAAGCCCATAATAAAAAATTTGCTCATGAACTTGGAGCTTGGGCATTACTCTCACTTGCTGAAGGCAGCCTATTCACAGACAAGAAAAGGCTAAAAAATTAGATTTTCCTTTTACGCTGTTAGAATCTAATTCAATAATTGTTAAGTCTTATATAACTTTTCATATAAAAGTTTTGGTGCTTATAGGATGCCTGAAACATCAGCTTCAATCAAAAATCAAAATCAGCATTTCTATGAATAGAAATATTCTATGAATTGAACAGTCTAGGCCACAATTCTGTGCTGTTGCTGAGAACAACGTACAATAACTTAGGAAATTTTGACTTTCCACTCACTCTCTTCATTCCTTACAATCTGCCATCCCTTCAGCCTGATCAAGCTCACCTGAAAACAACTGTGGCCAGCACAATGAAAAAGGCAGCACGCTATAGCATCGGGGGCTCATGAGGTCTTGAGCTGATATCGCTACCAAAAAGCGTATGTTTATGGTCAGAGTAGATTAGACAGTCTTGTCGAATGTCTCAAAATACAGAAACTCCTCTGCTAGGACATCAGAATATGAAATGCCCCACATAAACACCATACTATACGAGGATTTTTCATCATGGCTTCTTGCACGTAGATAGCTCCACGTTTCCACTTGTTTAACAGTGCATTCCAAGTCACTTTGAAGATGCTTATGTGCAACACTGGTAACAGCCCTTTGTTTATATCCCAAAAGGCAGGAATCAGCAGTTTCTATAGCCTGGAGCAGTGCCCAGTGTGAGTTTTCATTTGAAGAGCAATTTGCTCAATGGCAAAATAGTGATCCAAGCAGAGTTACCTACTCTATCTTCTTATAAGCTGGAAAAATAATTATGAGATCCAAACACATACCATGTTAAAAAAGAAATGAGCAAAATTTATGGGGTTAAGTTGGGTTTTTTTGTTGAGTTTTTGGTTTTTTAGGGTTTTTTGAGGATGTGAACAAGAAGTTCCTTCGTTAATACGTTTCAAATTGTCACATAAGTGGAAACATCATTTAATTTCACTAAATCAAAAGCTAGGAGTTTTGCACAGTATTTCCTCTAACAAGCTACCAGTTCAACCCTCTATTATAACATTCATTTCATGACTGAATTGTTCTTCAGATTTTATTTATGGTGCCAATAAAAAAAACAAAAGATCCTGCAGCTATGTAAAAGTTCAAACAGCTCAGAAAAAGTAGGCGACAAATCTAGCTGTTTGATAAGCATCATGAGATTGTTACAAATCTGGAATTAAAAAAAATCCCTTCATGTACAAAGGGGGTTCTGCCGTAGAGTAAAACATTCACCTAAATTAGAGTCATGCAAATAATTTAAGTGTAACAGGAAACTACAACAAAACATAGTTTACCACCTAAGTGTGTTCTAGATAGGAATAACATCAATTTTAATGTATTTTATTATTAGGGCTAAAAAAAATCATATGCAAGCCCTTCACATGTAAGTTCAGTATCTCCTTTCAAAGCCATGCCTGCCCACGTTTCAAAGTATCGTCTCACCTACTTCAGTTATAATATTAATACACTTGTCTTACAGAAATGCCGAAATAGGCATTGGCACAATAACCATTTCAGAAGGTCATCGCAGAGCAGTTAAACATGCTGTCTCCCAGCTGACATGAGTGTATCTCTGGAGGTAAGACAGAAAGCAGCAAACACCCCTGGCATTCCTCTTAAAAAAGCTTTGCAGAGAGCATTTTATACATAAAAGGCAGCTGGTTATGCTTCAACAGACTCTTTTGCAAACAGAACTGATCAACAGATGTGCAGTGCTTATAGATGGTTATCAACATAATCTTAATTTTCAGAAGCAATAAAACTGGACATCATGCCTATTCTCTGAGCCATTTACCTACCTCAGAAGATAAACTGGATTCACTAATATCTGCTATGGGATTGATAAAAACTTGATGTCAAAAGAACTGAGTATTAGAAAAGAGAGAGAAATGGGAATGTCCAGATAATTGCAGCATTTCAGTCTGCATATAGGCTCTTCACTGATCTGAAACTGCAAACAGACAAGTCAATGTGAGGAAAGTGAAGGGAAAAAGACTCTGAAGCAGATATAAATTTAGCAGCAGGTTAGATGGAGAGAAAAGGCTCAAGGACAATGGCAGGTCTTTTCTTCCTTCAGCTAAACCCCCAATGTATTTTTGTGAAAGCAAGCTAGCCTTTGGCTTTTAACTGTAGCCCAAAACTGCATTATGTCTCTTGGGTGCTTTGATTTTTTTTCTCTTTCTAAATCTCAGCACATAGACAGCTCCGGGGCTCAGTAGGAGAAATTATTAAAAGCATGCCTGCAGAAGTAAAGAGATCAGTCATTTCCCTTATCCCCTGTGTTTCATGAGCGCTCCCCCGCCCATGCAGCGTTGTATGAGATTTCATGCAACCAGACATGTCCTTTTCAAACAGACTGTAAAATTTAAAATCCTTTAACAGTAGGCATAGCATTCCTTCAGATTGTTAAGAGAAGCATAGAAATGTGCTTCAATTCTTCAGAAAGGTCACATTCACCTTCAGAATTCTATCAAATTTTTTTTTGCCCTGCACAGTTCCATTATCTTAAGTAATTTGTAACAGTCTTTACAAAACATACTGGAGTTTCGTAACACACAAAATCCCAGAGTGAACATGATGCAAGCAGTATTTGCCTAGTTATTTTTTCCTAGGCTGCTTGAAAGTCCAGATGTCTTTCCAACTGTCTTTCCTGTTCCACTATTGCAAATGCGTCCCTCCTTTAGGATTACCATTCTATATGCATTTTCAATTTACTCTGTGCTTCTCAGTCCACTTTTTCCCACTAAATACACACATAGTTTGGATTAAATATGACTTACTGTATTAGAAATATGACATTAGAAAGTTTTAGCAATTATGTTCAGTATATTTTGACAAAAGCAAATGTGCTGAAAGCATGATGCGTTCTCATAAAAATGTAGCTTAAAATTAGGAAAAACCCCTTTTTAAAACAGTTTCCTACTTCCAATGTCATTAGCTACATCCCCAACCTTGTACCTTCACCATTAAAATGTTACTGTGCATTTAACAGTATAGGAAAATGCCCAATAATCTTCATTAGTGCTTGTCAGGAAGCTGGTTTTAACCCCCTGCTCCCCCAACCTAAAGACAGCGGAAGAAAACTGGAAAATGCTGTTACCCAAATACTCTCCAGCCGTAAGCAGATATACCCGCACTTCAGAGAGCTCTTTGCTCCAGACTAACTCTAAATATTAAAGATTTGATATGCATTTCAAAACTGCTATTTGACACCCACTGGAGAACAAAATACATCTTTTCAGAGTCAATATGAAATTGAAAGGACCCTATTTGGAGTTCAGAACGTGAAGCAGAAAGCCACCTCTGTGCTTATTCTGTCTGCTAAAATCAGATTTACCAATAGACTGCTATAGTTCAGGATACGCCTCAACTACAGGTTTTCCTTCACACACCTGCATGGGATCTCTGATGAAGACTGAGTTAACATCACTGATTTCTGCTGAAGTTTTTTTTTGTCAATATGCTTTTAAAGAAAGTTCTGCTTTGTAGCTGTTACACAGATGAATCATCATGAGTACCTGAAGTGACAGAGCAAATATCCTTCTACAGTGAGAAAAATGTAGTGTAAGGTAAAACTTACTTTGTTATCCTAACAGTTAAGGAAATCCACTACAATTACCTCAAGGTAAAAATATTTATGGAAAAACACCACAGAATTTTGAACATACAAGTAGCTGAGAATCGACTTCGGAAAGGATTTCTAGAACTTACCTATGGTGCAGTTTGTGGTTATTTTTCTCCGCTTGGGGTTGTGTCGTAGCAATTCTAACTCTCGTTTGGTTGGCTCCCATGTTGAATACTTCTCTCCAATGCCTAAGCAGATGAAAAGAAAGTTTCAGGAAGTTGTTTAGTAAAAGCATTAAAAACTCTGTTCAAGTAAAAACATTCAACATGCTGTCCATTAAGTTAGATTCAATCTATGTAGAACTACAAGAGACTGACTTCTTTTTACCCCTCCCCCCAAAAAATACTGTTCAGAATGGTATCGGCCAATCTTCCAACAAGTAAGAATGAAAAGAAGAGAAAAGCACTTCTTTACTTATAAAGAATACCTAGCCAGATCAATTTTCCATTACTGGATTATAATCCTCTTTTCAGTTAAAAAGAAATTCCTGCACAAGAATAAATCCATTATTACTCAAAAATGCATTTCTTTGTGCTCAGAGGAGGTCAAATGACAGAACCACCACATGATTTTAGGAGAAGATACAGGACAACCAAGAAATCTCATTGCTGTACTTTGACAAGTTATTAAATAAATCAAAACCGATCCAACTTAATGGACAGATACAGGCTTAATCTTTACAGACAAACAGCAGAACTTTGGAATTCGATATACTAAACAGTTACTACATGTCTTAGGATATACCATTATAGAGTATGACCTCTCCTTATAACTACTGAGGTCGGACTGGATATCAGCAAATTCTAACACTTGAGATTCACTTTACTGACATACGTAACATTACCTAAAAATGCAATTAGTAATAGGTTTAAACATAACCCTTCCCCACCAACCAACCAAAACTCTCCAAATACCTTAAGCACCCTTTCTCATGAGCTGCAGCTAAAATCTGACATTATTCTCTCTAAACATCAACACCGTGTTTCCAGTACATTTCTTTTGTATAAAGGAAAGCATAGTAGAAATGAGTCAGGGAAGTAGTATGGAGAATAGATCTAAGTAAGCACAGAGTTGTGTTCAGTGTAAATCTGATACAAGAAAAACACAACGGTGAAGACTCATGGGCTGACCAGTTAAGTACTGCTGTAGCATTCAAGGTAGCACAGAGAAATTACTATGCAAGGTCAATTATAGTGACTCACAAAACCATCTTGGCATTAAAAATAAAGAGTAAGATGACAAGCAATCTATTCTAAAACTGAGGATTAAAGTCAATTAAGAGTTATTTTTCACAGAATGCATGGAGCAGAAACAGTGCTGTGCTACAGAAAATAAATTATAAATCATACATATGAAAAGAAGGGAGTAGAAAATATAGCTAGAGACTTACATATTCTGCATAATATACATTAAATTTTAATAGCTCTTTGATCTTCATTTTCAGAAATAGCTATGCTTGTCAGAAGCTACCCACCCAAAACCGTTCAATTTATAGTTACTACTGACCCTCCAGGTTCTAGTAATAAAAGGTCTCATTTTCAGATTCTTGAGGACTAGAAAATTCTTATTTACATGGATGCACCCATCTCTCACTTTATTTGATTCAACAATAGATTATGCAAGAAGCATAAGAAAGAATACCAGAATCATATAGTCCCTTTCATTTATCCAAGGTTCAGCATCAAGCTACACACCCAGGAAAACAGAAAAGGAAACTAATTACTGTGTAACAGATTGATGAGATAAAACAGCTGCAATGCTTTGAACACACTATACAGTACGCATAGCCAAACGAATGAAGCAACTTTAGAGACGCACATATGGACAGTTCACATATGACAGAACATTGGCTTGCAACAAGTTTTATATTAGATGGCTTCAGCAACCCTTCTTGTATTTGTAATACTCCCTTAGGAATTTGTTTAAATTGGTTTGTAAAAAAAAAAAGCTCAAAATAATTTTCAGCACTGCGTGAGTACCAGCTATTGCACTGGCCAGCTGTAAACTTGAACTCTTGCATTTGGGTTCACTGTAGTTTAAACATGGCCAAACACAGTTGGTATCATCTGACGATGGGATGAAATATCGTAAGAATAAAAAACTCCCAAACTTGGGTACATTTAAATCCTGGTTTAAATAAAATGTAACAAAAATCACACCTGGAAACACATGTGCGCTCAACTTTAGGCATGCAATAGTTCCACGTATGTCAGTGGGACTATTCATATATATATTTATATATATCTATA